TTAGGGGCACCGCTAGTCAGCTAATGTTACTTAACGTTGCGAGAACTCACATTCTTCCAGAATGATAACGTTATTAAACTAACAATAACCTCTGTAAAAAAAAAAAAAAATAGCCAGGTTTTTGCGCAACTTGAATCCTTACATTTTAATCTGTTTTGTTTCCTATTTCGATATTTTTTCAAACTGTAATAGAAGATGTGGTTAATGTATGTTATATACCAAGATAGTGATTCATCACCTGAACTGAATGGTTAATCATCCAATAAATGTTGGGGTTCATAACAAAAAATATTATTATTTTATACGTACTCATTTAATTCAATGATGAGTCCTGGTATGACGCGAAAGGTCTCGTCGGCACTGGTAGATGTAGTATGTTTGTTTATAATTGAGCACAAAGCTACACAATGGGCTATCTGTGCTGTGCCAACCACGGGTATCGAAACCCGGATTCTAGCATTGTAAGTCCGCGGACATACCGCTGTGCCACTGGGGGGTGTTAGATGTCGTATGTGTTGTATGTTTTAACATATTCTCCTCTATTTCACTCATGGGTTCTTAGAATTACTAATGTTATTTTCTCCCGTTTACAGTGAATTTCACTAAATAATAATAAAGTAAGAAATAAATAAACAGTGCTAAAATAAAATTTTGTGTTATCAATTATCACCTACAAATCTGATTTATAAATCACTTACATAAAAATTGATAATGATTACAATTCACACGCTTAATCTGATTCACACCTTAACAGTTGTTGTACATGAAAATTGCTGATATAAGAAGAGCCTGAACCTCTTATCATTTCATATCTCAGCCGACCTGATGAGTCCTGGTACTGGGCGAAAGGCCTTCTCGGCATTTGATAAAGTAGATGTAGTGTGGTTTGACATTTTTTTAACATATTTTCCCCTGCTTTTGCTCATGGGTTCATAGACATTTATATATTACTTTACAAATCCGAAAGTTCAAACATAAACAAATGAAACATCTATGATTTGGCAATACAGTAGTTGTAAAGCACATACCGCTTAATATTCGCATATATATATCATTTTCATAACTGGGTTAAGAAAGAAAAAAAAAAAGAGGAAATACGATATCATCAAATTATGGTCACGTGACCTAGTAATCTCAAATAGAGCTTATACCATGATCCTATTTTATGCTGTTGTTTCATACGATGTCCCACAACGCTTCCTAGTTAATGAACTCCGGCCATTTCTCTGCCTTGCCGCATCTATTTCTAATCAACTTTCCACCTGACTGAGAATTGCTGATAGCAAGAGCTCCACGTGGGCGCGCAGAAAGCGCTGAGACGCCAGAAACATAATTGGTTAATTATGA